ATCATGCATTTATACCTTTATTATTCTAATTCTTAGAAGAGGCAAAGAGCCTTACCATTTACATATTGCCTTAAAATGAGGTGCCTTTCCCTTCATGTTATATTCATGCTCTTTGCTTTCCTTTTACACAATTCACCCACAGGAGAAATGGCTTTTTGAATAGTCAGGAGACAAAAAAGGCAAGGCCATTAAACAAACACTGTGATCATTGTTATTTCCCAACTTGATGATACATCTGAATTTTGAACATCTCCACATGGGCCAATATAACTAACCCATTTCTAATGCCACCCTTTACCCAGAATGAAAATACATCAACTGCCATCATACTCCTTTAATTAGGACAGTCATAAAAGTCTGCTCAGGTTCAAAGGGAAGGGATAGAACTCCACTTCTTGATGGAGGTAGTGGTAAGGTTCTGGAAGAGTCTGTGAGACTTGAAATATCGCTGGGATCATTTTTGGAAAACAGAACTTGCCAAAAGTTTCTTTTGTAAAATGGGAGAAGAGTGAGCATGAAAAGGTAGAGGGGAATGGAGAACTGGCATGATCCCTTGATCAAGGACATGTTCTTAGGTAGATCAATATTAACAAAGAGTTCATATAGGAATCAAGGATCCAAATTTATATTTCCTTAAAACTACGTATGCCTGCATGTCCTTTGGAAAGCTGAATACTCCCTGGAGTATGGATTCCTTGTGTGAAGACCCTACTATTGACTATACTCCTGTTCTTTAATTATCTTGAGTTTTTAAGATGTATACTTAACTATAAATTTTTCAAAAAAGTTATTCAGCATTTCTTTGGAGGTAAAAAGTGTACTCTGGAACACTAAAAAACAATCACTTTCCATTTTAAAAAATCAATTCCTTTCACTAAACAAAAACAAAAACAGAATAGAAACAAACCAGATTATTAATGCCACAATAATTTTGATAACTGAATATACTACCAATAGTTTATGTACGTTTCCTAAGGACAAAAAATGTTTTCTCTTAAAAGTCAGAAAAAGCTAGGCCTCTGGAAGTAGATGCTGGTAAACTTAGCAAGAAAGAAATTTTACCTTTGTTTCATATTGAAATAAAATGTACATAAACTATCAGAAGAATTGAAATTTGAATGTCCTCCAAATATGATATGAATACATTGGCACAAAATCCTAACTTCCTTTTTCATCTTTGCCAATAATCCCATGATCTCTAAGAGATGGCTTAATATTTACTTCCAAGTGCTATTTCCTAAAGATATTTTCATCATACATAATGACCTCAACACATCTGTGGAAAGACAAGATATTAGGAAATAAGGGCTTTTTTGTTAAAATACTGGGGAAAAATCACTAAGTTATCTTTTATATACAGGGGAGTAGGCAGAACAGTAGTTATAATCAATACAGTAGTTATAATCAAAATTTCCAGTATTCATTCATCGAATATTTATTAAGTACCTACTATTTTGTAGGCACTATTCTAAAAACTGTTAAGACATAGGGGTAAATGAGACAGAGAGTAATAACTATCACTTATTGAGTGCTTACTATGTGCCAGGCCCTGGCCTATGAGTTTCACACATATAAACCCATTTAATCCTCAAACACAACACCTCTATGACACAGGTACTATTAATTTCCTCATTTTACATATGAGAAAATTGAGGCATAGAGAAGTGAACTTGCCCACATAGTAATTGGTAGAAACAGAATTTCCAAAATCCTGGCTGTCATGGAGCTTTTGTTAATCTAAAATCCTTCCATTCTTATTTTCTTCTTTGCCTCTGTGAGAGACTGAATGAATAGATAGAACTGGGTATGGCTCAAATAGGTGGTGTGACCATTTCATTTTTCGGTATTTCTGAAAATACTGAAACAAAATTTTAACTAGTTCTATCTTATTTCTGTGATCTCAAGATACCTAGTTTGCATTGGATAAGACTTTTGTTTACATAGTTGGTAAAAAAATTCTTTCCTATTTTTCTTAATTACTATAGGTATATATACATATCATACCTTCCTTTGGAAAACCATTTTTCTATTCCAGGTAAGCTTAGTGAGGCTACAGATCACAGAACTCTGTCTCATTATAGGAAGTGGGTTCATAATTCAAGCAGGTCTCACTGCTTTGGTCACAGTTAATTGGTTCAAGAATACAAAAACATGATCTAAGTATGGCCAATCTGTCTTCTCTGGGATTGATGGAGTTGAGAGATGTCCTTTTGGTAATGGAAGTGATTTGAGACTACTGGTTGCCATCTTCTTTGGACTCAAGAGAAAATGACTCCACAATGCTGAGAGATAGAGTAGAGAAATTCAGACAGAAGACTTTGACCTAGCTATTCATGGTCTATCCCTGCCTTTTTTGAGTTAAATGAGCATAAATTTATGCTTAAGTGGGTTTCTGGGCCTTCAAGTTTTACTATGTTTTTACGGAAGTATTATAAAATATGCATGTAGACAATGGTTATAATGAATATGAATTATAACTTTCCATTATATGAACAAATATAGAACTGTCTACTGTTCAAAGAATAGTTTATCTATTTTATTTTCAAAACTAGTTTGTAAAACATTTACCTATGACTTCTAAGTGATTACAAAACATTATTTTAATAGTTCTGCTTTTTTATCATACCACAAAACCACAATATAGCTAGAAAGACAAAATGTTTTATTTTAAAACATTGGAAAAACATTAAAAGACAAATGTCCATTACATAACAATGAATGTTAAATATATGGAAATTGTAATCTTTTAAAATGTGATAGGCACTTCCAGACAGCTAAATACTGCAAAAACTACCTTCTTCTCTAATTAATCAATAATACTTGATATGATAAAAAAATACCAAAAAGACCCTAATTATTCAATCAAAGTCATCATCTTTGGGTTCAACTTATTAATACAAGTTTTGTCCAAGATGTTCCTGACACATGAAGCTTCCAGTTGAATTTCAGAAATGTTAACAAAAGTATCTTCCTTTTTTGCCTGTGAATGTTTGAGTATTGCTGTATTGTTGGCTTATATCCACTACAGATACTGGTTCTAGGCCAGCCCAAGGGTCTTCAAGCATTGAAGGCTTGAAATAACTTTCCAACTCATTAGACATTCTTTTTTCTCTACCACGCCCTGATCCAAATGGTGTAGATGTCCTTGGAGAACCCTTTAGAAAAAAAACCATCAGTTAAAAAAACATTTAGTAGAGATAGTTGGTACTTTTTCCTTTAGCTAAAAGCTAGTGGGGATCACATTCCTGGTTAAAAGTTGTGACTTGAACCTAAATATTTTCAACTGCAAAGTCCATGCTTCCTTTAATCTAGTGTTTTTGTTTTTAAAAGAGTATTTAAATCAATTTGGTATACTTATTTATTAATAATTCCATGACCATTGTCATCACAAACACTTTTGGGTTTCTAATGTAATGACTTTGCAGTTATTAAATATAAGTGGTGATGAAATCAAGTAGCAGTGAAATAAATTTGTATTCAATTTTCTCTAGACATTTCCACTTTTTTCAGGAGAAAAAATTTAAAGTTTCTATGCTCTATCTTATGAAAATTTTCCTTACTCCTTTGCTCCAGGCAGTGGTGTTAGTTTAGAATACACAAAATTGGAAAACCACCGAGCAGATGGAAGTCGTAATCCACAGCAATCCTAGACACACCAGAAATACTCCGTCTCTTATATTCATTGTCACTGAGAGAAATGGGAAACTTCTACTACCACCGATTTTCCCTTGAGAGAACTTGGAGCAGAAACCAGTGTAGCTCGAAAAAAAGATAAAGGCAAGAATAAAAAGAAAAAGAAAAAAACGTGATAACTGTAGAAAGATGGCACCAGCCTTTAACCTAGGTAAGCGCTATCCTGGGGACTCATTCACTTTTTTCCCCCCACAAGAGCCCAGGGGCTCAGAATAATTTACTGAGACAAATTGGCAAGGCCGCTGGCAAAGAAGAGGAAATGGAGAATTAGAAAAATCTGTGAGTGGCAGTGCACTGGTTAAAAGCTCTAGAACAGAATGTATGCTTCCGGCACTTTTTTAGGCTAATCTTCAGAAAGTTACTTAACTTCTCTAAGCCTCAGTTTACTCGTCTGCAAAATAGGGCTAACAATAGTATCTCACCTCATAGAGGATTAAACAAAATAATCCACGTACAGGGAATATTAGTACCATGCCTGCCATACAGTAAGAGCTCGGCAACGCTGGCTATTATTACCTGGGGGTGGGTCTGCTGCTGCCCTGGGGAGTAGCCGAAATGCTGCTGGGACCCCGCGGGGGACTTGGAGTAGGAGCCAGGGTAGCCGCCAGGGGACGGAGACCCGAACCGGCCCCCTGGGAAGCTGCCGCTGTGTCTCGGAGAGTGGCTGCTCCCGTAGGGCCTAGACCGGGGCCCATACGGCGGCGTGTGGTGCGGACTCCCGTACCCGTCCCGAGGAGAGGGCGGTCGTGGTCCGCCTCCGCCTGAGGTACCCCGGAAGCTGTTCCCGCTACCCCAACCTCCTACACCCGGGCCGGGGCAAGGAGGAGTCGGGGGCCGAAAATTCTGTCGCTGCATATCAAGAGCCGGAGGCGAAGTCAAAGGACTCGACGCCGCGTTCTCCCACCGGAACTGTTACCGACCGACCCTTCGCAGAGAACTGGTAGTCCTTTACCAAAACAGTCCTCCGGCCTCCAGCGCCACATGGCACATTGGTTCCGGCGTCACAAATGTTCCGCAAGGAGCGGCGGAATAAATGGGTTACTGGATTAGGTAGAGAGATTGAGTGGATTTAAGTGAAGGAAGGAAGAAGAAAAAGGATAAAGGAAAGGTCGAGCACGACTCTAGCAATGCCCTTGCCAGTCTGGCGGCTCTGGGTTTGACGGAAGACGAGATGTCGGCCCCACAGGTGACGTGACCCCGGGGGCGCTCCGCCCCGCCCATCGGGGGCGGGGGCGGGATCTGAGGTGTTGGCAGGCGCCCCTAGTGGCTGCGGGTGGTGCCGCGCTGGGTTTACCACTCACAGCCGAACCGAGGCTAGCTGACAGACGCGCGATGCTCGCGATGCTGGCGACGCTGGCGAGGGTGGCAGCTCTGCGGAGAACCGGCTTCCTCTCTGGCCAGGGTGGCGGGAGGGGGCTGTGGACAAGCCACCCGCAGTCAGGTACCCTCCGAGATTCGGTCTGCGTGGCGAAAGGGAGCCCAGCCCCAGCTTTCCTCGTGGGGGCATCCTGAAGCGAGCGCCCGCGCTTTCATGAAGTCTGCTGTCCCGGTAGCTCGCCCTTTGGCCTTTCCCGCCTCCTCGCCCCCTCTCTCTGTGGCCCTGTGGCCGGCCTCTCCCCGGTCTTCAGCGGCCCGGGGGTCGCCCTGCCCGGCGCCAGGGCCAAGGGCTCCCTGCTGCGGGGTCCGGGCGGGGGCGGGGGGGCGGCCCTGCACGGTCGCACTTGGTTCGTGCCTTGCCTCTCTCCTTTACCCCTACCCTCTCGGCTCGCAAGTTTAAATAACTTTAAAAATGTACGCCAGCCGCATTTCAGAAAGACTTTAGCCTGCTGCTTTGAACAATTTGGGGGAGAAGGCTATGCTGGCAAATGCCGGGCTTTATCCCCTTCCTTGCAGTTCTTGTTAAATGGAAACAGGTTAGGGAGGAGGTTAGGAAGCAGATATACGGATTTTCAGAAAGAGCAAAATGTGGCCCAAACTCTTAAAATCCTGATTGTTTAACAAACTTTTAGTCATAAAGAAAAGTATGATAGTTCAAGAATGACACCTCCTAATGAAACATGCCTTGGTACATATGCCTGTCCCAGAATTTTATTTAGAGGATGAAATTTAGATTTACTACAGTTTTACAGAACTCTCTTTACTCCCTCAGAATTTGGGAATGGTAATCCACTATGACTCTTGAAATCAACTTGTAGGATACAGAATCCTAAAGAACTTTAGGACTCATGAAATCATAGCCTAATGGGTAGCCTGGATGTGTGCTTTTCATTCAGTCTGTGCATCCTCTTGTAGCTGCTACTCCTCACTCTGTCTCTTTGACATGTTATGTGACCTACCAACTTGAAGAGTGTGGTATCTTCTCAGCTTTTATCCTCTTTGATGAATGGAGAGAAAAACACACAGGGCTTTTTTTTTGTTTGTTTATTCTGGGGGAATTTATTCACCGTGTTTCTTTACTCCTGTAGACACAAGTTGTAGAGTCCATCAAGGCAGGATAATGCCGGCAAGGGTTAGTGATACCATTAAGGCCTGAAGGCCCACTTTATTATCATGTATATGGTAGTTCAGCCCTGGCCAAAAATTCACCTTTCTGGACATTGTCTTTGGTGCTTAACTTAATGCCTGGTAATTGGCAACTCGTATATGTGTTGAATGCAAGAATGGGTCATATACATCATATAGGTCAGTGATTTTCATCTTTTAGATCAAGCAGTCGATTTTTGGGAGGGTGGAGAAGGGTGAAGGTGATGGGGACTAAAATTACTTTTATTTTATTTTATTTTATTTTATTTTTTGAGACAG